CTGCGGTGGGTGTATAACCAACCATGACGTGATCTGAGCGATAGATGTGGCCTAGTAATAGTTGAGCTAGTACAGCGAACGTTAGACAGCGCATTATGTATCATCTATGAATCTGTTCTAATCCCGCCGAGGCTTATCATCCTCGAATTGGATCACATAAGGAATTTCTTAGAATTTCGCCATTAACTTTTAAATTAATCTGCATCAGCCTAATTTCTGTTGTCTTGTTTTCTTTTTTTCCAGGTGTACGAATTGACGAGGGGATAGTGTACATCACCACACTCGACGGTTATTTGGCGAAGAAAAATCTTTTACATAGTAAGGCAGGTGAGTCTGTTTAATACTGAGTTGATCAACTCATGCACACCTTAATTTATCCCCGCATCACATGTGGTCTGTTTGTGTGCGTATATGGGCGAATGGTTTTCCTTCGCGTTTCTCTTTTGTCCTGATCGATAGTCCCGTCTTGATTGCCAAGTCTAATCCATCTGTGTTTCCCCGTTCGACTGGACTTTTCTATACACATCAGGTGATACCGAATGGCAAATACTATGGTCCCGATCATCATGTCCTCTCCCGAATGAGGTGCACTGGGAATTCCATGGACTCAGTCTTTCAGCGAACGGTGTGTTCGTCACGTTTTTGGAACAGTGAGTAGTCATGGTTGAGCTTGGTTTGCTTTTCCACTCATTAAACATTTCCATTACATTCGTGAGGTTTCCGAACTAGAAACGGACTTGCCCCGATTGTTTATTTTGATTGTGGTAGATCTGATCATTGTCTATATGGCGTGCAGGACGAATTTCAATAGATTTAAAACAGCAGTAGCTGGGAATAATTTATAAAGTCTAGTGGGGTAATCCAGTCGGAAAAGCTATAGGATTAGACAGGAATAGTGAAAAGCCGATTTCAGTTTTAGAAGCATCACAATCTTCTAATCAGTTTGTCGACTTGTGAACTTTCTTGTCGTTCAGTGATCACTATTTTGTGCCGTAATTTTCCCATAGCTGTGGGCGACTAATCTCTGCCTTTGCCGTGAGCTAAATAAAACGTTCCAAGGAACCTAATGATGCGACACTTTTGTTGACTATTCCCTCAAGAGGTTACAGGGATTAATATCCTAAAACCTTATGCTCCAGAAGAGTGGATCAGATTGCTGACATTTTACTTCTGATGTTCGAGTATTTACTGTCTGGACTTGATTCCGTTCGAATTTGTTTATTCTCCAACTGACAATTCGTTCAGGTTACCGTTTGTGATAAAGTATTGAAACACCTCCCTGTCCAACACCCGTTTGTAAACGTTGATATTGGCTATTTTATTTCTACTACCATTGAAACTTTGCATGGCAAAATCTGATGGGATTTAATAAGTTTTATCTTCATAAATCAGCCATGTGGAAATTCGGTTTTCCGTTTACTTCTAGTTACAACCGCATAACGTGTTGTCCTCCCCCGCACACACACACACACACACACACACACATGCTTCGCACTAACTTTGTTCAAAGTTTCTCTGAAGAGTGTCAGCCAACTAATGATTGTTTGAATCACAAAACACTGAAACAAAGTACATTTCCTCTACCCCATAGGCCGGTCAACTACCTAGATGCAGCCAGACAACTGAAACTTGCTCAAATCTTACCACAGGTACGTTAGCGTGGTTGTTATTATTGTCTAATCTCGTTCATACGCAACACACTCCATCACAACAGTAACACAACGAACCTTTGTATCTCTCTCTTTCTCTTTTTCAGATTCGTTTTCTGTCATTCTGGTCCGATGTACGCTTGCTGGAAGTTGTCTTCAATTCGAAACTTCCATTGCATCGAAAAAGCGACGGTCTTCTAGCTTTAGCTCAACGTTGGGTGCCCAATTTGGATGATCCTTCACCGTTGGTCAAACAGTGTGTGGACCGATTACAATTCTCCACGTCGGTTCACTCTTTACCGTCCAGCTGGATTGATCAACCGCTGCCGATGTTGCATTTGTATAGGTTTGTTCTGTGTCTTTCACCTTTGTAAATTCTAGTGCTGATTTCTCATCAGAATGTATAACATGACCGCTTTGGTATTTTTGTTCGTCATTTAGCGATATAATAGGCGAGATAGCAACCAACTGAAATACTTGTCGGTTTTTTTCTTATCCAATGAATTGGTGCAGTTCAAACACCTCCAGATGTGTGCTGGAAATGTCGTGCCGTATGACTACATATGTGATTCACAAATGCGGTTGAACGGTGTTCAGCCTTGTCGCGGTCGATGGAATGATCAATTATTCGTAGACACCGGATTTGTTATTCACCTCTATTAGACTGCTGTTCACGCATGATCCACTGTAGTCAGAACTAGCCATGAACTCGACCCATCTGTGTGTATGGGAGCCGGTTGTTGACGGATCCAGGTAACGCGCAGCCTAGTGGTGCACCCCGAGGTGCTTATTGACGATTTCGATCGAGAGCAGTGCGTTCGGCCACAGTCGTGTCCTTTAGCCTTCTCGATGGTCGACTTTTTCTCATGCTTTCGCAAGGAATCGTCTAAAAACTTCAGCTTAGTCACACTTTTCTGAGAATTTATGTGCTTTTTGGTCACACCTTACTGCTCCTTGATTGCTTTTGCCATTGTGTTATCATCGATTGAAAAGGCGTCAACCAATCTATTTTCCGTTCTCATGTTAACAAGTTATCCTATGTGGGTAGAAATGATCGATCACTAACTGTGAAAGTACAAAATGAGTCACCAAAGGACAGATAATGTTAACACGTTTTCTTATTCGCTGAACATGAAATATTCCGGTACTTTTTTATCTGACCCACCTGCAGTGGTATGACTAAATTTTGTGCAAATGAATGTTTGGCAGATTGAAGTCTCATGCTGAAATTGTGAAAGTTCAGTAGCCTGGGTTTGTGCGTCTAGGCTAAAGAATTAAGGATCGTCGCGAGTACATTACGGGTTTTGACTAAAGGAGTGCAGGGTTGAGGCTAAAGCGTTGCGGGTTTTAGCTATAGGATTGCTGGTCGAGGCTAAAGCTTGACGGGAAAAGGTGCAATTGACTGTATACGAGAAAAAAAGAGATTTTATGAGTTACGAATTGTTTGAGTATTCAGTAGCTTTGGTGTCTAATTCAACACTTCTGCTCACTGTTTTCTCTTACCAGAGCAATTCAGGAAACAAGCAAACGTGTATATAGGGTCACTGTTTTCTTCCACACTACAATACTACTACTACTACTACTACTATTACTACTATTACTACTACTACTACTACTATTACTACTACTACTACTACTACTACAACCACCACTAATAATAATAATAATAATAGCAATATCCTACGGATTACCTTGTAGAATAGACATGAATGGAGTGTCTTGTATCAAGGTTTTCAGATCGTGCTAATCACATCTTACTGTCGTAAACCACGAAATCCCGCAATTATGAGACTCTGTTGTACCGTGAAAAAAAATCCAGCAATTTTTAATACATTCATTTTGGAGTTCTGAATCACACGATACCCAGTTGAATGAACATGGTAATCAATCAGACGGTGTTAAAGCTGCATTCCTACAAAGTTTAGCTGACAGCAGAGCGAGAGAGAGATTTCAATATTGGGGCCAATGCTAATCACTCGCGGAAAATGGACCCACTCGTTCACTGCTTCCTTCCATTTGTGCTATCGACATTCCTTTGAAATTCAGTCACCACTGTCATACTTTTCTATCAGTCTTCACTAACCATGAAGACAAACATCATTGATGATGAAATCAAAAGTTGACTATTAATTTCTGAAGATGAACAACTACCACTAATGCTCGACTCTGTGCGCTCGCTCATCCCGCTGGAGCTTTGTGCAATTCATTGCTGAAGGTGCTAAGGCTGAACTGGTCAGTTTCCATGACTCAAAAACGTGTATTCGTGACCACGGGGTTCATCCTATTCCACTACTGATCATAATTAGACACTCAATAAAAAAATAACCAATACTGTTTTGTTGTGGTAGTCAAATGTTCCGTAAGGAATGTTTATGCTACTTGTGGCGGCTGTAAATTTTGAAAAAATAATAAATAACGGATGTATTCGTTGTATGTCTAGCTGTTGAGCATTTCCACAAAGCACGTTTTGTAAATGCACCAAGGTGACCTATGGCCAGTGCCGTGTCCCATGGTTGTGTTCGGTAATCTTCGGCTCACTGTGGTCCAAGACGAATTCTGGGATACAGGTCCCTGTTGTGTTCCTATCGTCAAATGATGCATCTTGGAACGCCCTTCCATCTCATGTCGTTTGTGCACCCACTATTGAATCTTTCAAGCAGAGACTCGATAAAACCTTGGCACACCTCACATTCGTACACCACTAAAAGTAAACGCAAATTCACTGTAGCCTACATTCTTTATTACCTCCTACCCGGAAGTCTATGTGACTCCTTTTTCGACGTGTAACGACTCATCTGTGTAAATATCCTATGGGGCAAGAGAAGCACGAGCTTGTAAGTTATTCCCATAATAAAACTTTGACTTTGATCTCCACTGTATACTGAGCGAATTCATTGTTGTTGTTGCTGTCGATAGCATATTTCACAGTTTTCTATGTGCAGTCATTGCTCCAAAGACTACGCAGTGATTTGCTCGTATACGAAAGACTACCGAGTTGCTCAGGCCAAAGCAGTTGAATTTTCTTGGGGAATTCATAACCGCTGAGCCTGCAGTTTTATCGAAAGTCTGGCCCGTAAGGTAGCGGGATGATGTGTGTCAATCACAATCTACCCAAGGATCGGTATGTAATCCATCGAATTATCTGCTTTTTGAACGAGGTCACACGTGTAAGTAGATCTCGATATCCCATCAAGCCGGTGTCCACGATCAGAACCAGGAACTGTGGGCGTTGTTCGTTTATAATCAGGGATTTTAGCCATCTCCCTCAGGTAAACTGGCAATGGTTCACTGATCCGGGCACAACCCGGGCGGTTAGTATTTCTGTTCCCCACTTTGATGGGAAAGCACTTTTGTCACGTAATAAGTACGGCTCCTTCAGAGGAACCTATTTTAAACTCTTAAGCGCATGGAAGCGTGTCCTCGAGGTTACCAGTTACAAGACACCCATCTCCGACTTTACTTAAGCTCTTTGAGCGGGGCCTTTGAATTTGGCCGTGCCTTGTTTTCGTGGAATATTATTTTCGTAAAG